CACGTACACCCGCACAATAAAAACCTTACCGCTGAAAACAAACAAAAACAAACAAAAACAACACGAAACAAAAGGCAATCAAAACAGGCTCATCAACCCAACCTGATTCACAGGACGTCCGTCCGCTCAGCTTCGAGTAGATTCAAACACAATATTCATGCATTATGTAGGCATGCGTCTACCGCTGAAAGTTTGACAGCATTGACAGAGAAAAGAAATTTATGTCATCAAACAAGAGGAAATCGAACCTTACATTGGTGTGTTAATACGGGGTGCCCACTACGGCTGGATCGGACCGATCGCCCGACTCGATCGCCTGAAACTGAAAACAAACACGTTTGACTTTGAGCGGATCGAGTCGGGCGATAGGCACGATCGGCCGATCCCATCCGTAGTGGGCACCCCGTATAAGGTTACCAACCCTAAAAAAACACCTGTGACGGCAGCTTAATTTAATTATAGGCTTTGTGTACCATACCTCACACGCATGTACGAGTGCACACACACGCACACACACACACAAACAAACACGCATGCACACAAACACGTATGCACGCACACGCACACAAACACACATGCACGCACACATCTACATAAACACACATACACATCCAAAACCACACACAACAGCACACACACACAAGCCACGAAACTGCCATAGTTTGGGGTGGTTTGGCAGGAATGAATAAAACAACACTTGTGAGAATCAAAGGAAGGCTTCGTTTAATTGCCTAAGTAGAGCAAGTGCTCGAGCGTTACTTCTTACCCTCATAAATCCGTCATGTTGTTAAAGTGGGCATCTTTATGCACGGCAAAACAATTTCTTAGAGGGCCTACACATCTGGACGATTCTTGAAAAATTAAATAATACCACAAACGGAATGGTCACCAATAAATAGGCACAGCCATGATACAAATCTTACAGATATGTGCAACTCCATGAAACAGCAGAGATGAAGAAACGCGACTTTGCTTCCAATTCAGACGCTTTGTCAGTAAACCTCTGTGACATTTAGGATGAAATAACACATACTTATGTCCAAAAATTATCAGTCTACGCCCAAAAGGGTCCGTGCTCCACACGATATATACATATATATATATA